GGGCCTGATCAACCCGTGTCTCTGATCCGAGGGGTATCACATCACGAGAGAGTGGACTAGCAATCCCCGACCACATACCACCTCCATGGCGTCATCTGGGCCTAGATAGCTCAACTTCCTTCTAGATTACACTAACACCACGGACCACTGGGCATCCGGGTTTTCGCAAACCTTTCCTCAAACCTTTTTCCCAGAACTATGTACTTTTCATTTAAATAAAAATCTTCCCCTTTCATGCCCTATGATATGCATGGATGTCTTATGCTTCCCAATATCATGTCAACAAAGGATTTCATAACTACAAATCAACATACTTCCATATTTCAAGCTTTTAACAATTTATACATAATAAGCATAAAATTAATCTCATAAGCATGTTTTATCACACAATTCAACTAATACACATAAGCATGTGGTTCATATACAACAATTAAGCCAACTTAGAGATAATTAACACAAAGTTAACATGTGAACCACAAATCAATGAAAAATTGACTCACTAAAGTCTAAGAAGTCATTGATTAGGAACCCCTATCTCAAATTAAAGAAAAACCCCAAATTCACCTCAAACCCTAGGATTTTGAGATCCCAAAATTGGTGGCCAAATGGAGATTGACTCCGATCAAACCGTAGATCTCCTTAAGCTCTTTAATTTGCCGCAAACGGCATTAAAAATCTCTAAAAAATGAGAGAGAAATCAAGATGTGAAGCTCGTGTAGAAAAGAGAAAAGAAAAGATAATTGAGAGAGTGAGAGAGATAATGTGCCAAGAGATAGGAAGAATGAGAGGCCAAAAAGGGTCTCTTGACCTTTAAGGTGGTGGTGGGTCCCACCACCAAAATTATTATCTTTTTGATTTATTTATTTTACCTTTTTACACCACACACAAATATATATACACAAACCAAATAAAACCCACATAAAATACATCAAATAAAATGCATGTGATGCCAATGGACCCAACTAAAATTCTCGTACGCGATAATTCCGGTAGCGGGTCCCACACGGGACCGTCCGACCAGAAAAACTGAAAAATGCCAAAATGACAATCATTGCACTTCAAGGAGTCTTAAACTCAATAAAATGCCCTAACCAACTCTCGGACACAACCAACATATTTCACAGTGTCCGGCACGCAAAACGAGAAAAGACGAAATGCCCTTACGTAAACGAAAAATTTCAAAAAAATGAAAAAATGACGAAATTCAGAAATGTTACATAAATCCTAAATAAAAATCCGAGTTATTACACTATTATACACACACACACACACACACATATATATATATATACACACACACACACACATATGTATATACATAGTTACACACACACATCCATTACAATTGACTTTTAAGTCTAATTAGTCCATCCCAGGCCTTCCCAACAAGTCCAAATAACTCATAAGTCCAATCCATGCTTAATAAAATAAACAAAAACAAATAAATAAAATAAAAATTAAACAGCAAATTGTAGTTAAGTGCACAACTTCCAAATAATCAAACAAATTATAAATTAAAATGCACAAAACATAATTAACTAACAATTACTCAATACCACAAACTTAAATAAATTCATATAAACAATTACTCAACAATAAAAGTAAAGCAAAAATCACATAAATCAAATAAAACCATTAAAATAAATAAATTAAATGCTCTGAAAATTAGGGGTATTACAAAAAATAATTAAGTATGTTTCAAGAGATTATACGTTATTATAAAGTCGATATTTTCTCCACACACGTGTGTGTTAACGGTAGTACCAGTTCCAAGATACAAACTAAGATCTATGTAGACATTAAAATTTCATGAGTTTTTGTCTAAATAAATTGACTTATCAAATATGGGTCTCATGTTTAATTAAATTATTTAATTAACCCAGACTTAGTCAACTTCAATTATTTAGTTAGCACAATCCAAGTGATTAAATAAAAATAATTATTATTCTTAGTAAAATATATTTGAAATAATTATTTTTATGAATAATTATCGCAATATAACCGACCCGACCCAATTATAATTATGTCCTTGTCAATAAAGGACACATGTCATCATTCTTTTAATCCAAAAAGTCTATAAATAGAGGTATGGAAGAAAGAGAAAGGTGTACAGAAATTAGAGGGTTTAGAAAATTGAAAGACTTATAAATCCATCTAGAGAAAAAATACAGAAGCTCTATCGACATTCACCCCAACACCCAATCCTTGAAGAAGAAGAGTAACAAGAACAATCAAAGCCGTGCCGTTCTTCCACAAATTCAACAAATTATCTAAAGACGAAGAACAACAAGCACATTCAAAATTGTGCCATTCTTCTTCAAATTCAACAAAGAACAACAAGTACATCAAAATTATGCCGTTATTTCTTCGTGATTCAACAAGTTTAAAGAATCACTAAACAACATATTCGAGATCAAACTTCGTCTGCCCTCGATCAGAAATCATTGGTGGCCGTCCTCAATTACAAATACTTAAAGAAGATTGTCAACAACCCAATTCAAGATCAAGCTCCAACATCCCTTGGATCTAACCACCAAAGGAGATCGAATAAGATGATACTTTCTTTTTTTGTATACATTAGAGGAATGTACTCGAATTTTCATAAATTAATAAATTTATTATTTATTCCATATTTTGTTCTTTAATTTACAATTACGAAATTTGTGAGTACCAGCTCGTCGGTGATGTCCCCTCCAAGCACCTCCAGAGAAAGATGGGGATAACCATGTCGACGTCTTGTTATTCATAGACTTGTGATTCATGAAATATGAAATATTCAAACAAAAATATGTAGAGAAGGGAATAAGAGGCTCTTGTAGCTAGGCACGTAGATACAACAATTTATTCTTTATATGACTATGTATATATATAATGTAAGAGTTAGCATAATGATAGAATTAACATACTAATAACATAGGTAATAAAGCATAATAAACTACACTAATAATGTGGATAGTAAAATATAATAAATGACAATAAATAATAATTTTTATTATAATATCCTCAACATATATATCTTGAAAAAATGAGAAAGTTTAACCTAAATAAATAGACAAAAAACTGACACGAGAAAAAAAAAAAAAAGTAAATAGAGAATATGCTAAAAGTATAAGAGAAAGGTAAAGGAAAAATATTGTTGGAGAATCAAATTTTCTCCTACAATCGTTTCAAATTTTCAAAATAATTATTCAATTTTTCGGGTAAAAAGATTCTAGTACCTTTATTTTATTTCGAGAAAGATACATCATTATTATTTTGATAAAAAAAAAAAACTATAATTCAAGTTTTGGCAAACTAATATAATTATTTTAATCAAAGGACCTGTACCACAGTGGAATTCTTCTCTCATCTACAAGGGTGAGGTTGAGGTGAGTCCGTAAGTAGAGAAAAAAAGAAAAAAAATATTATTTAGTAATTTATACAAATAGTTATCATTTGTCAGGTAACAATTAAAAGCATTAGAATATATAATATCATTATTATTATTGATATTCCGTATTTATTTATTTATTTTTGGTCTCTACCCCCTTCCTTGGTGTATTTTTCTCCTTTTCCTTTTTTTTTTTTTTTTTTTTTTAATTAATTAATAACGTCATGTTGACCCGTACGTGTAAATCTTTTCTCTAACATTAACATTTTTATTTTTTGGGCATAGGCATCAAAGTATGCTGCTAGCAATAAACTGGGTTGTGCAAAAGAACTTTGCCTCTGAGATCATGATGGTCTAAGGAGGAAGAAGATGGGAGGAGAGGAGAGACCATGCCTGGAAAAATATGGGCGGGGTTGTCCTGGGTAGTTTGTTCACAAAAATAATTAATGAGAGGTTAAAAGATAATATAGTCATTTAATAACTCAAGTACTTTAATTTCATCAAAAATTAATATTTAGGATGTAACTGAAATGTTAAATTACTAATTCAAATGTAAGTCAAGTTTTTAAAATCAAAATGTTAATTTAATTGAAAAATACTTAAACTTAAGGAATTTTAGTGTAATTTATTCAAGTTTTTAATATTTTTTCTACCATTGCATTGAAGGTGATGATGATCTTTCCACTTGGCGCGACACGTATCAGGCTATTAGCTGATGTTCAAGTTGTCCATATTCCTGATGCACCCACGTCATAAGTAGTAATCATCAATGAAAACAAGTGCTGTTCAATCATCACAATTCAATACGATGGATTTAATATTTATTTAATTACTGTAATTAAAGTACACAATAATAATATCAACTAAAAGATTTTATTATTATTTTTTTTAGAAACACACTCAAATGGGGCCACGGTACAATTTTTGTACTCCACAATATTTTTTATCCTCTTCATATGGGTGGTTCAGTTGTTAAAGAATTTTAAAGAGTAAACTGTAAGTTCCAACGTAATGAATTTTGACTCTTAACTAAATTGAAAAAAAAAAAAAAAAAACACGTTAGTTCAAATATTATAATCAACTTTATAAGTATAAATTCAAATAGACAAAACACTCACTCACACTGACTTTCTTACCCACGTCACGTTCGAATATGTCTCATTCTTTTATTTTAAAAAGTAAAAAAATAACTACATAATTACAACTTTAAATGCATAACTACTGTCACAAATTGTTAGATTTTTATTTATCATTTAATTTTGTATGAATTATTTCTTATCATGAAAATAAAGTTATATTTTAAATGATAAATAAAAAAAATTAAATAATTTATAAAGAATATGATTTTTAAGTAAATTTATCAATTTTGAAGATTATAATTATAAAGTGAGTAATGTTGTATACACCAATTTATTTGTATTTTGTGAAAGTTTTTTATGGACACATTTTGGACATTAACATCAGTCTGGTCTGGTTCAATTAAAAATACTAGTACTTGGATAAAAAAAGGGCCCACAAACACTTTATAAAGTGGGTCCAAGTACACGTGTCGAGATCAAGACGGTTGCTCCCCGCATTCACTCTATATTTGAGCTCTCTCGAAGTTGAAGAAGCCATTGAAACACTTTGACAGAGATTCCCACGAAATGCAGGCAGATAACGAGAAGGTTCCTGCAGAGAAACAAATCAACGGCTGTAATGGCATCGATAGCTCGAATCCCGACGCCGACGTGTCGCCGCTTGTTGCCGGTGAAAACTCGCCGTCGCAGGCGGCCACTACCATGACTTCTATGGAGAAGTCGCCGTCGGACACAGGCTGTAATGGCAGCGATAGCTCCAATCCCGACGACGACGTGTCGCCGGTTGTTGCCGGTGAAAACTCGCCGTCGCATGCGGCCACTACCAAGACTTCTTCGGAGAAATCGCCGTCGGACACTTTCTACGAGAGACTTGCCAATTTCTTCGAATCCTCTGGACTGAGTCTACTGTGAGTCCGCTATTCACGCTCTGTAGTGTATGAACATATGCATATATATATATATATATATATATATATATATATATAAAATATATAGAGAGATGTTTGTACGACCCTGCATTTTGGAGTTTTATGTTATGCGGTTCTAGAATATTCTAGTATCTGTCCTTTATTTTTTTATTTTACCATCTGTTTGGTTGATGAGAAAACGTAGGAAATGGGGGAGTTTATTGTTCGGTGAAAAAAGGGGAATTTTTTTCTTTTCGTTTTTCCTTTCCACCTTTTCCTCTTTCACTATCTAGGATTTGGGACCCAACAATCCAACAACCTCCCCTGAGCTAAGCCAAGAAAAAAAATCTGCAATGAGGTCTAGGTCATGTAGGACAACACACCAGACTAGAGAATAGCTTATGACCAATGGACCATTGGTGTAGTGGTACGAACCACATCCACAAGGGGGCTGCGAGCTATTCGAGCCCCACAAAAGGCAGTGTGCTGTGTGTACCTGTGTTACCTATCAAAAAGGAAATAAGAAAAAAGAAATAGTATATACTAGTCAAAATTTTGCATCGAAATTCATTTAGAAATGGATAATAGGCTCCCAATTTTTTAAATCTTCTCTATCATTTTTTTTGACCAATTTTTATAATTTTATTTATTTATTTGGTCAACAATGGTGGTGTCGGCCTCATAGAGCACCTCATAATCATCACCTAGTACATCCAGTCCCCCGTCCCACACCCCATAATCAGCACCGGGCACATCTAGCCCCCGTCCCACATCCCATAATCCAGCACCGGGCACATCCAGTTCCCCTTCTCACATGCACTAGGAAAATTTCCTAGGGTGGCTTCAAGGGAATTTGAATTCTTACCTTATTGAAATATCATCTTTAGTGGTTTGTGGGTGATCGAGTCCATCAAGTGTTTACAAACCATAGAGCGTTCTAAGTGGCTAATGAGTAGGTTGAAATATCGTCTTAGTGGTTTGTGGGTGACTGAGTCCATCCAATGTTTACAAACCATAGAGCCTTCAAAGTGGCTAGTGAGTAGGTTGAAATATCATCTTAGTGGTTTGTGGGTGATTGAAGAAGAAGAATATCGTCGTAGCTCATGCAATTTAGTTCTAAGAGATTTTGATTATTGCAATTATTAATGTTTTAATTATTATTTAAGTGGTGTTCTGATGAGGGTGCCTCAGTGAGCTAGCTCCCTCAGTATTGTCCTAATTTTCTTTCTTTTTATAGTAGGACCACTTTAATTTGAATGATATAATGATGTGATTCCGCTATATTTCATATTCAAAAATTGATAATTGAGAATATGAAGAAGTTCAAGTTCAACGGATGATAGACTCACTTTGAAGCCTAATTCTTAAATCTGCTATTTGGGTTACTTTGAGTTTCTTCATTGTTGGAATAAATTTAATAAAAAAGCCAATTCAACTTGTAATTCATTTTCTTAGTTTTCTGGGCAATAAAACAGAGTGCAGTGCTAAATATCCACGTTAGAAATGTTGGCATTTGTTTTCTGATTTATTATATCTCAATTGTTTTCTTTAAGTACAAAATTCTGTTAAAATTAATTCAGTGGATTGCATTCACATGACAGTTTCAATTTCCGAGAAACGAGCTTGGACTTGTATTTGTTTTACAAAGAAGTGACTGAAAGAGGTGGATTTTATCAGGTAGTTTCCCTTTATTTTCCTCATTAATACTACCAATTTATGCATCAATGCTAATTTAATATTTATTGGCACTTTATTGAATATACAAGATTTCCTTCTATTTTCCTCATAATTAGCTAAGCACATATCAGTAGGATCTAAGCAGCTGCTATTTCTGTATTAATATATAATATATTGTTGGACGATTAAAAGGGGGTCATTATCCAGTCTTATTTCTGTATACAGACCTAAGCTTTACCGTTATTTGTACAACCCCTGTACTGTTTTGTTTGGAAATGGAGTTAAAAATTTCGACTTGTTTCAGTTTTACAATAATATGCTTTTTAGACGTTTACCTTGCTTTCTTAGCAACTAAACCTGTAGTAACTACAATACTGATTGATCAGAACCGAGGGCGACCTTAGCGCAACAGTAAGGTTGCTCCATTACCCAATAGCGGTTCTGCTGTTTTTTGAGGTACTAGCATGATAAAATGCCTCATTTTATATATCTTGCTTTTACTGGCATGAATCCTTGAATTTGAACCTGCATATCTTCCTATCCCTTTGTCAGTGGTTCTAGCAATGGTCTATTAAAACAGAAAGGAAGGGGGAGGAAAATTTCCTAAAGTTACATTCTAAGAAAATAGATGCCAGAATCCATATTTCATAATAATTTTATCATGTTCTCTCTTCTTAAATCTTGTAATTCACTAATATTGGGTGATCCCGCTTTTAGGTTACCAAGGATGTCAAATGGGATGAAGTAGCATCTACCTTGAAATTGAAAAGCAGCGTTCCCATGTTACCTACTCAACTTCAAAAGCTTTATTCCTATCTCCTCTACCAGTTTGAGCAAACATACTTCTATCGGACACCTGTAAAACCGATCAAAGCACCAGGTATGTAATCTGCTTCAATAGGTTGGGCCAGAACTCTTATAACTCCGAACAGCCATCTATTCTTCTAGTAGGTGGTTGGAGCTGTAAGGGCAAATTCAGAGGGTAATACTTACTTTTTGACATTTTTATAAGTGCTTTGCTTTGTTCATCATGAGTCTTATTCTTTGTTCTCAATATTTTTTTTCATTTAGTTTATTGGGTGGAGATAGAGAGGTTTTAGCAGCATTGTCGTATGATATGGGTAGAAATCAGAATTCCTCTTTTCATTCAACCTCACTGAAATATTTTCTTCAGGCGATTCTTCTGGTATTGGAGTTAACTCAACAGCCAAGCGGAAGTATGGGGACAGTTCTGATTCTTCTGATTCCACAAGAATTGATTTTGGTGGCGGGGATGGCCCAATGGAGAAAAGGAAGTGCATTTACTATCCTTGCCAATTGTCAACAGGTCTGTCAATTTTTCCAGAATAAATTTAGTAGCTAAAACTTCGATGCAATTTTTACTTGTTTTGTTCAAAGATACAGTTGAAAGAAAAATGTGAGGATTATACAGTATATTCTCTAAATGCACGGAAGCATTAATATGAGATTGTCAAATAAATCTGAAGTACTTGTGTTCCTAAACTTTTACCTTAACCATAATTCAGTAATTTCGTCTCATTCAAGAAGAAGATAAATATCAGAAGCAATGCTTCTAGAATTCAAAAATTATTTCGAATGAAGACAGACTTGACATGGGTTTACAATTTTCACTCTTGAGTTTAGTATGTCCTACTAGTGTGGGTTCTTGTCGATGAGTAAGAGATGAATGTATTAACTCAACAAAGCCATTTCCCAATTACTTAGGGTCTGCTACGTGAAGGTATCAATTGTACCATTGGATGTAGAGAGAGATTTCCATGGACTCTTTAAGGTCAAAGCGTTACTAAGGATTAGTTTAGAGCTTAGACAGGTCTAGTTCAGTTTCCAGGGTCTCAGCCAATTCTAAGGTTTATAAGAGAGAGGACGGTTGTGCTTATGGTGCAAGTGTTGGTTTTATGAGGTCATGCCATGCGCTCTTACTGCAATTCAGTGGGATGCTGCCAAGTTTACTGGGGCTGTCTGATTATTCTACTATGGAATTGCCATGTCACATGTTTTCTATTTTTAAATTATTTATTTTTGGGATTCAGGTCATGTCTCTCTTTGAACAACGCTAATGTGAGTGCAAACCTCGAGAAGATGCCATGTTAGTAAACTCTGGTTCAACCACCAAGAAAGTTCTCCTTAGGATTTTTGTGTAGGGCAAGATGGGCCATAACAATCGAGGGATATGGCATGTTCATGTATCACAAAGTGGACCATGATGATAATTACACAATAAGCTGTAGAAAGCCCTTGGGGTCCTACTTCCGATTCAGGCAGTGCATGAGGTGCCTTTGATCTTTACACTAAACTAGTTGAGTAGATGTCCTTTTAACATGGCTCCATATGAGGAGAAAGATTCTTGCAATGGCTCCCAACTTCAAAATGTTCTCAATACTAATTTTCTGACTTTAGGATTCGTCACCATAAGGAGTAGTGTTCAGTGGTATTATTCTAATGAAAGAATACAAACTTGTTGATCGCACCAAAATTCATATCGTTTGGACATTATATTCCTATATCCTCAGTCGACAGCAATATATTTCTAATAGGCACACCATTTATTAATTATGAAATGGTCCAGATGCTGGTTACATTTTCTTTCCATTTGATAAGTCAAATTTGAGCTGGACATTTTTTTTGTGATGTCTCAAATGCATTTATTGTAAATTATTCCAACACTGTTCAATATTTGCAGCATCTTGGCCAGAATAATAATTGTTTTCTTTTTCATATCAAAGAATGCCATATTCAACAGTTTTTAATGGTGTTTTCAATTTTGAGCAGAGCCTGGAATAGCAGAACAGAAATTGTCCCCTAAGACTCCATCAAGAAATTACTCAAAGAAGGAAGCAGATGCCCCACCGAGACCAAAAACCTCATACCAGATATTCCTCAGGAAAGAATGTGTTCGATTAAAAGAGATACACGGGGAGACCTCTGGAAGCCATAATATCCGAGACATGGCAATTGATGCATGGAGGTGTCTCTCTGAGACTGACCGACAGGTGCTCGAGTTTCATATATATATATATATATATATAGATAATTATGGCTCTTACTAGCTATTAATCAATAGGAGTAAATCTTCCTGTCTTTTATTCAGATTAATCCACTAAAACCCACTTTTGAAATGATCTACAACCATTGTTGTAATGGGCGATACCCCTTTAAGCTTGGCCACAATCGAATCCAGACATCCAGGTGAACATGCACGAACTTAACCCCCTCCTGGCTTGGGGCTCAAGTCTCTATTAAAAATGCATTACCAAGCTGAACGTTGACTTCCCAACCAGATTCATTGCTACTACATATGGTTTAGCTCCAACCTTCCGAACTTCTGTGGGACTCCTAGGATTTAGGAAGATAAAAATATTGATGTCCTTGTTATAGTTTAGGTGTTTCTGTCTCTAAATGATAGAGTTTAGAGTTCTAACCTCATCCATTTCATTGTTTTTTATTTACAGCCTTACGTCGAGGAATATAAGAAGGACAAGGAAAGATTCGACCGGGAAATGACTGCTTACAAGGAGCGAAAAAATTTGCAAAACATGACAGCACAGAAGATGCCTAGCAGTTCAAGACCGAATGAAAACAGCCGCACCATTTCATTCCAAATTGAAGGTGACTACCATGTGACTTTGCAACAATCTGATGCTGAAAACTTCTTTGTGGCAGATGAATCAACGATTGACACAACAGTTAGAATGATGAAGAATGCACAAGCAGATGACCCCATACTTCAGATCAACTTCGATGACTACTGTGGATCACTTGACTTACCAAATTGAAAGGATCATAAAGGGCTTTAGAGCTTCAGTTTCCCAGTTTTGTTTTTACGGGTTTAGGCTGTGGCACGAATAATGCTCATGATACATACTTGGTATCCTTCCTAGGAGGTATGGTGGATATGTTGATCTTTTGTGTATCTTTTGTTTCGCCTTTGAAGCTTGTAGTTTGTATATATACCTGTTAACCTGTGGAAATCTTGTGCATATGGTAATCTTTCTGCTATCTTTTGGTTCTTTTTTGAAGGTTGTAGTTTGTATGTATACCTGTTAACCTGTGGAAATCTTGCCCCTATGGAGATCCTTTTCTCTAGGAAAATGCTATGTGTGTGTGTGTGTGTGTGTGTGTATAGTGCACTATCAAATGTAAATTTAGGATGATGAAACCATGATATCTATACTGATTTGTAAAATGAACATTAGTAACTTAAATATAAATATTTTGAGATTTATTACAAATTTAATTATCTTAATATTTGTTGAAGGATATAAATATTAAAGATACACCAACTCTAGCAGTTTAAGCTTTTAGAGGAGGTGATTGCGTTCAAATTCCATGGCTATTTTAATAATTAAAATTAATCAAAAGAAGATCAGTGAGGGGGGCGCGAACTAAGGCTTTCTAGTTGTTAACAATATGAAGATTAACCTTTAAAATATAATTTCCATTTTATTTTGCAAAAATGAAAAAAAAAAAAAAAATTTCCCCTAACACGTTTCATGACCCATTTTACCATTTAGCTTTGCGTGTATATCTGTAAAATTGCCCTTTCTTTTGCAACTCTGGTAACAGTTTTAGTTTTCTGTTTATTGTTAAGAAATGCTGGCTTATTTTGAAAACAACAAACAGAAAATATTGTTTAGCAATCTTACTCTGTTTTTACAAAATTGAACACAATTAACAGGGATTGAAAACATAAAGGTCTCAGTCAACCTCTTCTCGTCCGAATGGAAAAACAAGGATACTAATTATACTACATTTTAAAACTTGTAATATTTCTCTCTCAATCACCAAGTAGGTCCTCTGTCCTCCACTAGCGAGCAAGAAAAGACCTATTATGATCCCAATCAAGCATACTGAGAATACTAAAACCTAACATCCATACATAGAATGTAGCTACATACAGTTGTTTAAGGGATTACAAACCAAGAACAAAAATTGCAACATTTTTCCAACAGACCCACCAAACCTTAAACATTTTTCAACTCACAAACTTAAAAGAATCTGAACCCAAGCTTTCTTCCAAGCATCAGGAATTTTAGCAAACATGTGCCTCCACAATGCATCCTCATGAATTAAAGCCAAGGCCGTGGAGCGCTGCACATCATCAATCCCCTCGAGGGACTCCAAGGCCCCGATGCATTTGGTCACCATTTCAAACCCTGGACGAGAACCAGTACTCAACCCTAAAGGCGTAGATCCGACACTGCTATTGGGAGATGTAGCCAATACTGGACTCGGACATGTTTTCAGTCATTGTGGCTAAGAAACTCCTTTTCTTGTGCTTACTACGAGCCTTTTTGGGAGACCGGCTCCGTTGTCCACCTTCTCCCTTATCACCATCATCATCCAAAATAATATTTGGACCAGTATTCGGACTACGTGAAGGGACTTGTGTGGATGCTTGTGCATCGAAGTCACACTGGTAATATACACAATCCAACCCTTCCTCCTATCATCAGGAATTATAAGAAACATGTCCCTCCACAGCAGATCGTTATGGAGTAAAGCCAAGACCCTGGAGTACTGCACAGCATCAATCCCCTCAAGGGACTGCATGGCCTCAATGCATTTAGTCACCAGTTCAATTTCATTCTGATCAGAAAACCCTGGACCAGAAACACTATCAGCACTCAACCCTAAAGGAGCAGAACCGACAGTGTTACTGGGTGATGCAGCCAATACTGGCTTCTCACAGGCCTCAGCTTTACTTTCAGAAGACTCAAGACATGTTTTGAGCCATGGTGATGAAGAAACTCCTTTTTTTGTGCTTACGAGTCTTTTTTGGAGACCGGCTTCGCTGTCCACCTTCTCCCTTCTCATCATAGTCCAATTTAACTTTTGGATTGGTAGGCTCTTTCTCACCAGGACTATGTGAAGGGACATTTGTGGATGGAGGTGCATGGGAGCTAGTTGCAGTTGTCTCAACAAGTTCATCTTCACACTCAAATCCTTGTGTTTTAGGTTGAGAGAGGTTTTCAAGATTTTGATCCATCTAATTGTAAAACCATACAAAATATTTAACATTAGAAGGGCCACCTATGGTTTAAGACTAACCAATTCATGAAAGCAGAACTTAGATTTGGATTTGGGATCTTGATAAAACCTAATAAGCAAGATGGAACAGAATTACAAATATTACATTACACTAAACTAAAAAATACAAGAACCCCTGATTTAAAAAAACATGCAGAAATTCAAAGTTTGACTTTTCACATCAATGAAAATAGGCAAAGCAATTATATAGAGTGCTTTGTGATCATGAGTTAGACTTAAAACCCAAAAATATCATGTTGTTGAAAATAAAATTAACACCCAAAATATCATGTTGTTAAAAATAAAATTTTGACAAAAAAAAAAAAAATTTAAAAATTGTAATATGCATTTATATCCGACAAATATGGAGTCAAGTAAAAAATTATAAAGTTTTTTGAAGGATCAAATAAAGACAATATTTTTATCAAATTTGATTCATATAGAGATGATATAAAGTGTTTTTTTTTTTTTTTTTTTTTTTTAAAGCTTATTGACAAACCAATTCCTCTTGATAATGTGCCATGCAAAGGAGGTAATCATCCCTGCTTATTAATTACAATAAACTGAAAACGAAATTTGAATTTGGGATCTTTATAAAACTACCAAGGGACTTTATCGAATTCTGAACAACAAACCAAAGCTAAATCCCATCTATTAAATTTTCATAGGTTTCTCTTATAAGAAAATTATTTCAGAAGGTCAAAGTTCAACCAGCAATATCAAAATGGATAAGAATGAAAAAAATTACACGTGATTAGGGTTTAATTAGCCTAGCAAGGCCTAGTATTGACTGCTTAATCTCAGCTTTTTTTAACTTGCTTGAGCTAATAGCATGACACTGTAAGTTTGGGCTCTCTGTGATGTAATTTGTAAAGCTCCAACAAAAATAAAAGCATAGGTCACTGTATGAAGTTATGAACTGAGATCTTTTAAAAAAGAAAATCAATGGAAAAGTTACAGATCAAGAAAATTTTCACTTTCAAGTGTCAACATAAATTCAAATGTGTAATCTGTCGTGGAAAAGCCTAAAATACCTGTATATGCAACTTTGAATCAGTGAAAGAAGTTTCGAATAAGCAGAGAACACGAAATGCGAGCGATCCACGGAGCAAAAACACTGAAACCAAGTGTATACTGCTGAGAAAATTCAATCAATCAGATGACACCAAGTGTGTGTATATATATATATATATATATATACAGAAGAGAGGTTTTTGCCACTTTTTGGGCTACTAGGGCTTCACTTGTTCAGATTGATCAGACCCAATGCAATTAAGTATTTTGACACACAAACTATATAGGGTTAATGGCTACAGTAATTAGTTGAGCAAAACAATAGGGTGCCCATTTTTTTTTTTAATTTCATGTATTTTCTTATTAAATTATTTTTATAATCTTTTCTTTTATTTAAGTATTAGTTATAGCAGTAACCATAATTTTATTACGAGCCGTGATACTCACGCTGAGAGCATCAGCGACTCTTGTGTGTGTATATATATATTTTTGTGGAAATATGATTAGTTTATTATACATTTTCGGTAAAAATATATATTCCAATAATAGTCAACTATTGTCAAATATAGAGCCCATAATTTTTACAAACTTAGTTAATAAATTATTAATTAATTAATGAAATGAGAAAGAGGGTGGAGAAAGAAAATATACTAATATGACTGTGTAAAAAGGTTGTGTAAAATACACAGCAATTTTACATAATGATGACATGATAGTATATCTTAACCGACTGCAAAAATTTTAAAAAATTTATACATCATATATGAGAGTGTATATTTTACACAAAAAAGTGTTTTAACATACTATATTCTAAACAATTGCAATGAATTGTCTAACCAAATACTTTTTAATTGTTATTTATACCAAATACAACTAAGTAATGTGAGTTTCACTTCCTTATTTGTTCCATAATTCAAATACAACTAAGTAGCAGGGGCTTCACTTCCTTATTTGTTTCATAATTAACCAATTAAAAAAAAATAAATGTAATAATTTACTACAATTATTAGATACAAAAATCATTTTCCTTTTATTATTATTATTATTACCAATTGATCATAACAATAAAAAAATAGAATTGTAACAATCATTTTCTAAAACTATTCTTATTATTAAAATTTTATTATTTATAATAAAAAATATTATTTTCGATTTAAACTTTTATTTTATACATAACAGTTTATTTTTTCTTTCTTTCCAGGTGTTGCTGAATGATTGAGTTATTGAAGATAAAATATTGAGAGGGGGTTTTAGAGAAAAATGAAAAAAAAAAAAAAAAAAAAAAAAAACCAAATTGCAACTCCGTGCTCAACCAGCAGAGCTAGGGTTTGTGATGCTCGCGAACTTTTTCCCTCCTTTTGATTCTCCAATCTCCTACTCTTCTTTTAACCATTTCCAAGTTTCATCAATCTCTCTCTAGATCAGATTTCATCTCTTCTCTCTCACATGCAAACATTTAGTGTTCGTTTAATAGCAGCGATGGGAAGAAGAAAAAGGCGGAAGCGATCGGCAAAGGGGAAGAGAGAGAAGCAATCGGTGGCGGAGCTTCCGGAGGAAGTAATCGACGACATTCTCACCCGACTACGGGTGGAAGATCTGCTACGTTTCAGGTGCGTTTCGAAACGATGGTGTGCCCTAATTGACTCACCCATGTTCATAAAATTGCATCTCAACCAATCACTTCAAACTGGAACCAATTTGAGTTTAATTCTGAAAAGTAATAGTAACTTATATTCAGTAGACTTAGATATGCTTGATTGTGTCTTGAAACTTGGTGGTGAATCTGGTGATGGTGTCTCACGTTTAGACGTTGTAGAAGTCCATAGCCCCTTCAAAGCTGAGGCCAGATGGACTGATGTAGAAGGTTCGTGCAATGGTTTGATCTTTTTGTATGGTATAAAAGATGAAGCCATTGCATTGTTAAATCCTTCCACCAATGATTACAGAATTTTACCTCCAATGTCACGTGGCGATGGCACTTCCTACCCATTTCATGGACTAGTGTATGATCCTGTCGGTGATGATTACAAAATAATTAAGATTATGCAGTTCTATGGTGATAATGATTCCTTTTCCCACAAAGTAATGGTTTATAGTTTAAGATCGAATATGTGGAGGCGGATTTGTGAGAGCTTCAGTTATTACCTTTACTTGAATATTAAAAGTTCATCTTCTGGTGTGCCGGTCAATGGTGCTTTGCATTGGTTAGCTCGTCGTGGTCGGGTAGATTTATTTGACATTGTTGTTGCTTTTGATCCTGTGGATGAGGAACACTGGGAAGTGCAGGTGCCACAGGTTCCTAGTTGTAATTACGGGATCTTGGGGGTTTTAGGTGGATGTTTGTGCATATTTTATGTTACTGAGGAAGATCATTCTGAAACCACTGTTGAATTATGGATCATGAATGATTATATGGTGGAATCGTCATGGACAAAACTCTTAACGGTAACGGTGCCAAAGGTCAATTACATGGATAATATCATGCAGTGGTTAAAGGTTTTGGCTTCTTCCAATTGCAATAGGAAAGTTAACTTGTACTGTGTGCTTGGTAAATTAATTTGTTATGACCTGAAAGAGAAAAGGGATGTGAATCTTGGCACTGGTTCATTTTCTGAGGATGTTAATGTGAAGAGCCTTGTTAAGCTTAATCATTATCAATGAATTGGCATTCTATAATTGTTGCTGCGATTTATGAGGAGGGGTCTGGTTTTGGGGGAGCTGTTAAGTTTTAAGAAAGCAACAATTCTATTATGGTGACCCATAAAGGATTTCGAGTATCTTTATAAATTCTGTGTGTTTTGTTTTGTTATCTAAATATGTTTTAACCTTGTGATCATGTTTGGCAAATTATGATAGTTTGACTTGGTTTGCACCTTTTGTTGTGCTTTAAGCTTTGCTAACTCCTTGTATTAGAGAAAAATGTATTAGAAAACACTTTGAATGGATTAGTGGAATGACTATGCTAATTATGTTAAGACATAGAATATATAAATAATGGAGTTCGATGTGGATTGTTGGTATTTGGGAACAAAGCCCTGGTTCACCCTTCCCATGCTGGTTTGATTACGGAAAGAATTAACATTTCTTCACATAAATTTCAAAGCTATGCTTTTTGATACTATGCTAGTAAACTATCTATCATTGTGTTCCATGCTTTCATATTATAGTGTCTTCATGCGTGGTGGATAGTATTGCATACAGAACCAACATTGTTTCAAATATAAAGATTGTTAGGCCAAACTAGTAAAATCAATTTCATCATGATTTTATTCACAGTTTTCTCCTTTAAAAGCTTTGATACGTAGGCAACTTCTATCTAACTTGTTGGGTACTTCTTTATCGAGTGCTTTTTATCTTACTGAGAGTATGTGCAGAGCTAGTTCATTTTAAGGAACCTATTTTGAATGTCTTCTTTCTTCAATGACTATTTTATAGGATTCTTTCATGTATGCTCTCTCTCTCTCTCCCTCCCTCACACACTTCAATGATGATTTTCTAAGGTTCTTTCATGTATGCTCTCTCTCTCTCCCTCCCTCCCTCACACACACACAACACCAGTTTGTGTCCATGCATCTACCTGTTAAAATGAAATCTACACTTTGCAGAGTTGTCGATACGAAACATCATGACTTTGTAAATATGAATGCTTATGCCCATGCCCACTTATGATATGTTGGATTAAAACCGTCCTTTCTTTTTCCAAAATAGATGTTGTTCATCAAAATTTATTGTATTAAAGTGCCTGCTAGGTAAAGAAGTAATTTCTTCCATTTCTTGGGTCTTTACTTTATTCCGAACCTTGAATCTCTTTTCCTATCGATTATTTGTCTTCCACCGGTTCCTCTTATGATTTGACTTTTCAATAACTTGTTTTCTTCAGCTCCTTTGATAATTGACTTTTTCCTTAATGTTCCTTTGTGCATGTACTCTCAAGGGGATGTTTCCCACCTGTGTAGACACTTCATTTTTTAAGCAGGATTAGCAATTTAGCATCCTCTAGTTCTATTTTAATTATGGTTTTTATCTTTTAAAATTGTGTTTCTCAATAAACCTTATTCAATTTAATCTAGTTTAAGCCCGTTTTCCACACTTAAATGGTTTTATAAGTCATTGTAAGGTTGTTAATTTTTGGATTGCTATCAAAGTCCCATTTAAATTAATATTAGTGCTATTTCAGGTTGAGAATATTTATTTTCCATACCTTGTATTCTCAAACCTTCTTTTCAATTTCATATCATTTTTAAAATTGATGGAACCTTTTCAAACTTTTTATAGGATTATGTTGTAAATTACCACGATGACCATGCTTCATCCATTTTTTAGGAGAGCTTAAGGCATTTCTTTAACATAAGTGAAACCTCATTCTTGAATCTTTACTAATTTATCCCAAATTTTCAAATGTCCTCAAAATGGAATTTTGCACTTACTTCTTAAACCTTAATTTTTGAATGGTGAAATAATATAAGAATTCAATTTTAGCTGTCAAAAATATTATTATTATTATTTTTTTTTTGTTCACTTTCCTAACTATTATTTATATATTTTTAGTATAGTTCAGGTTGGGAAGAATGTTATAAGGGGGAGCTTGTCTCAAATCGGATCTGGATAGAAAAATGAATGCTTATAAATGGGTGGGTGTGTAGTACTATTCAATATCTCAAACTTTTAAGTAAATGGACAAGCTCTCACCCCTTACACAAGGTTAGAAAGCAAAAAATTTTAAATTTATTAAGCCAAATGGGTTTGCAACTGTAATGAAATTGTGGGTATTAGGTCAAGTATTAATAATCTTCATGTAAAAAAATTCTAAAATTTTAAAGTAATATATTGAAAAAAGAATTTTTTTTTTTCTTTTTTCAAAAGAGTAAAATTAATGCGGAAAGGATTTAGTTTTTTTTTTTTTTTTCCACAACTCAATTCCAACGGAAGTGTCCTATTATATCACATCTAGAGCAGCCGCTTTTATGTTGTGCTTTTGGTAACGAATTTTATTTAAAAAGATTTTTGGAAGCAAAATCGTGAAAGCATGTTTGGAAAAGATGTTGCAAGTTTGAATAAATAAATGGCTAGTTAATAATGTTATTTTAGATTTTTTTTTTTTTTTGGGAACAAAGTTTTTGTTAGTAGTAATCAAAATTATCAAATGACGGTAAATATTAAACATGTTTCGTGTTTTTTTAAAAAATTTTTGGAAGCAAAATCATGAAAGCATGTTTGGTAGAAGATGTTGCAAGTTTGAAAAAATAAATGGTTAGTTAATAATGTCATTTTTTTTTTTTTTTTTGGAACAAAGTTTTTGTTAGTAGTAATCAAAATTATCAAATGACAGCAAATGTTACTAAATATGTTTTGTGTTTTTGTTTTGTTATAATATACTGGCAAGAGCAAAAAAACAAAGTAAAAGTAAAAGCCTTAGTTCATGCAAATTTCACTTGACAAAATAATTACAATATGCATGCTTAAGCAATCACACTTCATTTACGTACAGAGAGTATATTAATAAGTGGTTTGTTTAATTTTGAAATGAAAATATTAAAAATTATATATTTTAATATAACATTTTACCATATCATATTTTTATTCTCATGAATTATTCCTTTAAATGATGGAATATTGGCTGAAAATTAAATTTTCAGCAACTTTTCAAAAATAACAAGCAACTTTTTAGCATTTTTATGTCAAATACAATATCGCTGGTTAGAACTTAGAACTGTTTAGAGAGAGTAAATTTGACTTGAAAATCTAGTTAGCATTTTTAACCTAATAGAGAAAATCTGACTCAATGTTTCCTAGCACATGTCCAAAAGGGCACACCTCTGTTTTTTTTTTTTTTGGCACCATGAACTTCCCTAGTAGGGACCTATTCTTACTCTATGAAACCATATTTTTTTTTTTTTTTTGATTTGAAATCAACCCATTTGTGTATTTAGAATAAGTTGAAATTTAATTGAAACATAAATATATTTTTTTAGCATTTTTATTGTTATTAATTAATTAGAATTACAATCTTATACAGTAATTCACTAAAGAGTAAAGAAGGCAATGGTCTTCAGATTACTCCTCTAACTACTAACCGACCATTGTCTGATAAAATTACAAATTTCTAACTAAATAATTTATAAATTTAGCAAAATTCCATCATTTTGCGCAAGATTTGGGGACATTGTATTTTGTCATTTCAAACCTCGTGAAATTCAATTCCATTTTAAAATCATTTTGAATCCCAAATTCCATTGTTTCAAACATAGCTAGGTGTCACGTTCCGATTCTTAACAACGCCATGAGCATAGAAGACACGCATGCTGGTTGGCTAAGAACATTCATTGACTGTGAATGGTTCCAGGGAAGAGGCGTGCATGACCACAAGATGGTACCTCTTCAGAGTTCAGGCAGGTCGACTCGGTTCAGTTCGAAGTGCTTGTCGCTAGTCGTGAACTTGACTATGAAGAAGGGAGTTGGACATCCCTGCACAAACTGGTCGGGAGTTGGAGCCGTTCCCCTGATGAGACCAAGGTAGGTCGAAACCAGTCAACGTGTATCCTTGGAAGGGCAGGTCGTGGTGGCTGACCAGAGCGCTTGCGCGAGCTGAAGCAACGCCTTGGTGTCGCACGGGCCGTGCCGCTGCGCCAAATCTCTAGGCCTGTGACAAATGGTATCAAAGTAGGATTTGGGGTAAAGCACAAAGGGGTGCCCCCTTGTCGATCCGGGGGTCTTGAGAATGAAGTGGGTGCACTAAAGCGTCGATGGGCAATCAATGCTGTTGGAGGAGAGCCTCCATCTCTCCAGAAAGATGCGTCCTTTAAAGCCGGAGGGCCACGCGCGCCAAAGTTTTTGCAAGTTCAAGAGGCATGCAAACCGTTGTGAAGGGCGGGTATCAAGTCAGCCGGAGGGCCCTTGTTTGCTCGGGGTGTCACGGAGGCGGCATAACGTGGGGTTGCGTCTCGAAGAAGTGGGCGTCCCTTTAGCCCGAAACCTTATCATTGGGCGAGTGCAGCCAGGGGTTGTACAAGGAAGCGATGGTGGGCAGGCGAGCATACCACTCGGAGGAGAGAGACTTTGGAATGTTGGATGCAGTGGTTCAGTGCCGCACTGCGACGAGGGCGTCGCAGGATTTGGGTGGGGGAGAATGTCACGTTCCAATTCCTAACGACGCCATGAGCATAGAAGACACGCATGTTGGTTGGCTAAGAATATTCATTGACTGGAAATGGTTCCAGGGAAGGGGTGTGCAGGACCACAAGATGGTACCTCTTCAGAGTTCAGGCAGGTCAACTCGGTTCAGTTCGAGGTGCTTGTCGCTAGTCGTGGACTTGACTATGAAGAAGGGAGTTGGTTATCCTTGCACAAACTGGTCGGGAGTTGGAGCCGTTCCCCTGATGAGACCAAGGCAGGTTGAAATCAGTCAGGATGTATTCTTGGGAGGGCAGGTCGTGGTGGTTGACCAGGGCGCTTGTGCGAGCTGAAGCAACGCCTTGGTGCCGCACGGGCCGTGCTGCTGTGCCAAATCTCTAGGCCCGTGACATAGGGCTGTGAAAACAGCGATGAGAGAGACTCAGGCAGAAGCGGGAAAGGGGAAGAGAGAGAAGCAATCGGTGGCGGAGCTTCCGGAGAATTTGATCGATGACATTCTCATCCGACTATCAATCGAAGATCTGTTACGTTTCAAGTGCGTTTCCAAATGATTGTATATCCCAATCGACTCACCTATCTGTTGGAGCTACTTGCATAATCAATCGGATGCTTTGATATCAGTTGTTGTGACAAGAACGCAAAAATAACGTCGTTCGAGGAATAATCACAAGCAATCACGAATAATAAAAATGACACACAAAAACTTCGTCTTCACTATTGAGGTGGACAAGTCCTCTTTAATTATAAAAAATAAATTAAAAAAATTAAAGAATACTGGTAAGTACGTTTTCCTATCATTTTTTATTTGGTAATTAAAAATAGAAACATGATAGGGCCGAATGATTTTCTCAAATAAGTCTTGAGTACACATCATCTGCCTAAAACAAAGATTTTTGTTTAATGAAATTTATGAATCGAAAATCCTTTAAATTCAAAAATTATAAAAAAACACATCAAAAAATTAGAAAATACAAAATAAAAGTAATAAAAAAAACAATTGGAGAGTTTTACTCATTCCTATTGAGGATATTTGAATATTCAAAAGTCAGGGCACGAGTAGTTCGGGGAAAAAAATTGAATCAAATACAATTTTTTTACACAATTATGTGTTTTCAGTTTTTTAAGAATAAAAAATTATTTTCATCATTATTAACCAAGCTCTTAATTTTTCTTTGTTGTTGTCCGATTGAATTATTAAAGATAAAGACTTATTGAGAGGGGGGTTTTAGAGAGGAAAAAAAAAAAACCCAAATTGCAGTGCTCAACCAGCAGAGCTTAGGGTTTGTGATGCTCGCGAGCTTTTTCCTGCCTTTTGAATCTCCAATCTCCTACTCTTCTTTTAACCATTTCCAAGTTTCATCACTTTCTCTCTCTCTAGATCAGATTTTGTCTTTTCTCTCTCACATGCAAACATTTAGTGTTCGTTTAATAGCAGCGATGGGAAAAAGACAGAGGCGGAAGCGATCGGCAAAGCGGAAGAGAGAGAAGCAATCGGTGACGGAGCTTCCGGAGGAAGTGATCGACTACATTCTCACCCGACTACCGGTGAAAGATCTGCTACGTTTCAGGTGCGTTTCGAAACGATGGTGTGCCCTAATTGACTCACCCATGTTCATAAAATTGCATCTCAACCAATCACTTCAAACTGGAACCTCCAATTTGAGTTTGATTCTGAAAAATGGTACTAACTTATATTCAGTAGACATAGATATGCTTGATGTTGTCTTGAAGGCTGGTGGTGATAGTGTCCCACGTTTAGACGTTGTACAAGTCCATAACCCCTTCAAATTTGAGGCCCGTTGGACTGATGTAGACGGTTCGTGCAATGGTTTGATCCTTTTGTATGGTATAAAAGATGAAGCCATTGCATTGTTAAATCCTTCCACCAATGCTTACAGAATTTTACCTCCATTGTCACGTGGCAATGCCTCTAGCTACCCATTTCATGGACTAGTGTATGATCCTGTCGGCGATGATTACAAAATAATTAAGATTATGCAGTTCTATGGTGATAATGATTCCTTTTACCACAAAGTAATGGTTTATAGCTTAAGATCAAATATGTGGAGGCGGATTTGTGAGAGCTTCAGTTATTACCTTTTCTTCAATTGGAAAAGTTTATCTTCTGGCGTGCTGGTCAATGGTGCTTTGCATTGGTTAGCTCGTCGTGATCGGGTGGATTTATTTGACATTGTTGTTGCTTTTGATCCTGTGGATGAGGAATACCAGGAAGTGCAGGTGCCACAAGTTCCTAGTTGTAATCACGGGATCTTGGGGGTTGTAGGTAGACGTTTGTGTATATTTTATATTACTGAGGAAGATCATTCTGAAGCCGCTGTTGAATTATGGATCATGAATGATTATATGGTGGAGTCGTCATGGACAAAACAGTGTACGGTAATGGTGCCAAAGGAAAAGGCCAGTTACGTGGATGATATCATGGAGTGTTTGAAGGTTTTGGCTTCTTCCAATAATATCCTGCTGTGGGCTTCTTCCAATTGCGATAGCTTGTTCCGTATGTTTGGTAGATTTAATTGTTATGACCTGAAAGAGAAAAGGGATGTGAATCTTGGCGGTTCATCTGCTAAGGAAGTTAATGTGAAGAGCCTTGTTAAGCTTAGTCATTATCAATGAATTGAAATTCTATAATTGTTTGCTGCGATTTATGTGGAGGGGTCTTGTTTTCAGGGAGCTGTTATGTTTCTAAGAAAGCATGATTCTATTATGGCGACCATAAAGGATTTCGGGTATCTTTATAAATTCTGTGTGTTTTGTTTTGTTATGTAAATATGTTTCAACCTTGTGATCACGGTTGGCAAATTATGATAGTTTGACGTGGTTTGCACCTTCCGTCGTGCTTTAAGCTTTGCTAACTCCTTGTATTAGAGAAAACTATATTAGAAAACACTTTGAATGGATTAGTGGAATGATGATGCTAGTTACGTTAAGAGGTAGAATATATAAATAATGGAGTTAGATGTGGATTCTTGGTATTTGGGAACAAAGCACTGATTCACCTTTCCCATGCTGGTTTGATTACGGAAAGAATTAACATTTCTTCACTTTAATTTCATAGCTATGCTATTTGATATAGCACTAGTGAACTATCTATCATCGTCTTCCATGCTTTAATATTATAGTGTCTTCATGCGTGGTGGATAGCATTGCATACAGAATCAAGATTGTTTCAAATATAAAGATAGTTATGCCAAACTAGTAAAATCAATTTCGTCACGATTTTATTCACAGTTTTCTCCTTTAAAAGCTTTGATATGTAGGCAACTTCTATCTCACTTGCTGGGTACTTCTTTAGCGAGTGCTTTATATTTTACTGAAAGTATGTGCAGAGGAACTAGTTCATTTTAAGGAGCCTATTTTGAATGTCTTTCTTTCTTCAATGATTATTTTCTAAGATTCTTTCATGTTATGACTCTCCCTCACACACACATGCAGAGGAAGTAGTTCATTGTAAGGAACCTATTTTGAATGTCTTTCTTTCTTCAATGATTATTTTCTAAGATTCTTTCATGTTACGACTCTCCCTCGCGCACACACCACACCAGTTGTGTCCGTGCATTTACCTGTCAAAATGAAATCCACACTATGCAAAGCTGTCGATTCTGAACCTCATGACTTTGTAAATATGAATGTTTGTGCCCATGTCTGCTTATGATCTGTTGGATTAAAATCTTCCTTTCTTTTTCCCAATTTCCTTCTTTCTTTTCTTCCATTTCTTGGGTCTTTACTTTATTCTGAACCTTGAATCTCTTTTCCTGGTATTTTTTTGTCTTCCATTCCAGTTCCCCTTATAATTGACTTTTCAATAACTTTTTTTCTTCAGCTCTTTTGATAATTGACTTTTCCTTAATGTAGCATTTGGGAGCACCGGATGGGCGTTAAATTGCCTTGATTTCCTTGACACTAAGGGAAATGCAAAATCTTCACCTCATTAACATTTTGGGAGGATCTTATTCAATAGCAAGCATTCAGTGGAAAAGAAACGCTGCCACTAACCTGGTTCTGGTTCGGAAGATTTGTCTCTCCTTTATGGTTTACCATACGTGGGAAGAACGGAATAAAAGAATCTTCAGAGTAAAGGAATCCACTCAAAGAGTAGTCCTGAAGAATGGAATGAAAGAATCTTCAGAGTAAAGGAATCCACTCAAAGAGTAGTCCTGGCCAAGATCAATTACTCAATCACCTCGATTTTGAAATTGGAATTCCTCCGTAATTGCAACTCATCTAGAAGCATCCTCAATGATTGGAATCTTTCGCTCTCTTGTTGTCGTCCCCCTCCAAGACCGCCAGACTGAACTAATTCCGGCCGCCACTCATTTAGGGCTACCACCGGAATGTTTGCTAACTTTCTCCATTAACGGCTAATTGTCCGTTAATTGCAGTTATTAGCTTGTTTTTGGGCTTTCGATTTTTCCTTGTTTTGGGCCTAAATTTTTGGGTTGCTTTGTCGCCTTCGTTGGGCTGTACTTGGCCAAAGGGCCCACACTGTAATTGCCTTAATATTTATTTCAGTTGCTTAATTTTTTGAAAAAAAAAAACTTGTACAAATCTACTTAATATAAGGTTAATTCATTATTGGAATGAGAAAGAGGGACGAGAAAGGATATTTTCCTACAAAAAATATGTAATATTTTTATATTTATTTATATTACTATTTAGTAATTATTCATAGGAATATATAATTTGGCACTTTGACTTTATATATATATATATATATCTTTAATTCAAATAAATAAGTTTTATAATTATCTTTATCTAAAAAACTATATATATATTGTATCCCCAAAGATTATACTATAAATATATGTCATCTTTATATTTTATTTGATTTTTTAGATAAAGATAATTATAAAACTTATTTATTTGAATTAAAGATATATATATATATATATATATATATATATATATATATATATATATTGTATCTCCAAAGATTGTACTCTAAATATATATATATATATATTTTGTATCTCCAAAGATTATACTCTAAATATATATCATTTTCTTCCATGCCTTTGTGTTATTCTTCATTCCTGTTGAATTTAGTTGAACTAAATTCAACTAAATTTACTTGAACTTCTTACCAAGGGCAGAAGGCTTACATGTTACCCTTGATCATATATGCTCTCTCTCTCTCTCTCTCACAAATACACCACACCACATCAGCTGTGCTCATGCATCTACCATGTCCACTTATCATATGTTGTTTAAAATCGACCATTTTATTTTGTTTCTTTCTCTTTCCCAAATATTTGCTCGTCAAAATTTATTGTATTAAAGCTAGGTACACAAGTCTCTCTTTTTTTTTTTTTTTCCTTTTGTTGGGTTTTTTTTACCTTATTGCTTAAAACCTTAAGCTATGTTTGGTACGGTGGTAAGAAAAGAAAAGAAAAGATAGATAGATAGGAATAGGAAAGGAAAAAAGAAAAGAATAGGAAAGAAAAGATATTGTTAAACATTTATGGCATTTGATCGATAATAAAAGAGCAGAAAGAAAATGATAATTGTCATGGAGCAAAAGTAAAGAAAAAGTAACTTAAAGAATGTACTATTATACTGATTCTCATAGATATTGTCTTTTATCAAAATGTACACACAAATTTTGTAAGTCTGCAATAGAAACAAAATATGGGGCAAATAGAATTTTATTAATTTATGAATGTGGAGTACAATCCTTTGTAATATCTTTTACAAAAAAGAATGGTCCTCTGATTCGATCTCCTTGTTTTTGGTTGGTTGGATCCAAGGGCTGCACGAGCTTGTTCTTGAATCACTGTGGAATCTGATGAAGAACGGTACGTTGTTGGATGTGCTTGATGTTCTTCGCTTTTGGGTCGATTCTGAATTTGTGTCTCTGGATTTCTGAGTCTCTGAACTTCTGAATTTGTGTCTGAATTTGTAGACTTCTGAATTCTGAATCTTCTCCCCTTTTTCTTCCTCCAAACCTCTATTTATAGGCTTCTTGGATTAATAGGATGATGACACGTGTCATCTCCTGATAAGGAAAAAATTATAATTGGGCCGGGCCGGATATATTATGATAATTATCCTTAAAAATAATTATTCCAAATATATTTTATTAGGAATGATTATTCTTTTTATTTGACCATCTAGACTCTAGACTGGGCTTAATAAAATAATTTAAGTGGACCATACTTGGGCCAATTAAATAACTTAATTAAACATTGGGCCCATATTTAATGGGTCCATTTGTCCAAATTAAAGTCCACTAAAATTTTAGTGTCTACAAATTGCCCCCACTTCGAGTTCTACGCTTAACAGGACTTGTCTCCTTTTTCAAGTGGGACTTGAAGTATCCAACTTTTTTTTTTTTTTTTTTTTATTATTTTTTTTTATTGGATTTTTTACTTTCCAATTTATACAAATCCCTTGCCTATATATACCACCCAAGTCATAAGGTTTGACATCAATTTCAATCAGTTCTGAAGAACTTGTAAGATTGCGGCCTCTGAAGATTGTGTTGGATTGCGGCATCTGCTTGAACATATAGGTATGAATGTTCTTCTTCTTTTTTTTTTTTTCCATGCCTGTTGTTGTTGGAGGGAACAAATTTTTTTTTTTTTTTTTTCTCCTCCTCCTTCACGTTTCCTGGAGGATTGAGATTTGCATTTTTTTTTTTTTTTTTTTTTTTTTTTCTTTCTCCTCCCCGTTGCCTGTTGTTGTTGGAGGAATCAAATTTTTTTTTTTTTTTTTCCTCCACGTTGCCTGTTGTTGTTGGAGGGAATATTTTTTTATTTATTTATTTATTTTTTTTTCTCCTCCACGTTGCCTGTTGTTGGTGGAGGAATCAAAATTTATTTTTTTTATTTATTATTTTTTTTAAATTCCTTTTCTTTTCTTTCCTTTTTTTTTTTTTTTTTTTTCTTTCCTCCTTTTTTTTTTTTTTTTTTTTTTTATAAATTTCCTTTTCTTTCCTTTCCTTTTTTTTTTTCCTCTTTTTTTTTTCCCATGGTTTTTTATTTTTTTTCCTCCTTTTCTTTTTCATGCTATATATTTTTTTTTCTTTCACCCTTTTTTTTTTTTTTTTTTTTTTTTAGGACTTAAGAAGGTATAGCAAATTGGTTTTGTCAGCCATAACAGAAATTGAAATCCTTTTTCTAAACAACATCGATCGAGCTTTGGTATCCATCATGGTGGTGTTCAAGTGTTTCGCAAAGCAAAAACTGACTATCTTAGAGAGCGAAAATAGTCAACGAATCCAAGGAACGACATTAAGTGTATATGACTCACTTTTTGGTCACAATGCTATTCAAATGCCTGATTCTAACAATAAACATTGTTCATCTCATTGGACATGCACGGCCACATGCGAACTCACCGACTTTGGTCCTGATCAGATTAATGAAGAATCTATTGTCTCTAAAGCCTTGATACTAAATTCTTCACTTCATGAGAGAGTTGTTGAAGAAAATCAGTTTTCACTATTGGGTCTTAATGTTCAGGCGAAGGAAATATCATGGAGTATTCCCTATAAACTTCCTGCTGAATTGCTATACACCGAACTATATTGGGAGTGGTTAGAAGATGTCTTGGCTCGTTTCCATGACTTTCTATCAAAACAACAACTATATGGTGCTTTATTCGCCTCCCTATTTTCCTATGATCATCATGAAGATGTATTCAAAGCATTCCTTGAATGTTGGTGCCCAGCCACTAATACACTTCATTGTTCTATTGGCGAGCTATCAATTTCTCTTCGAGATCTATATATGCTAGGTGGTCTCCCTCAGCAAGGAACAATTTATGATGAAGTTATTCCTTGTGCAGATGAACTATCAAGAGCTGGCAATAACAAAAATTCTATCCCTTTGAGTTGTCAACACCTATTTTTGGCCTTCCACAGACTTTCCAAGAAGTATAAAGGAGATCAGAATGTGAAGATATCTGACTGGATTAATTTCTGGTTTAAAGGTGCATCAAGACATGCCAAACCTTCAAAGAAATCAACAAAAAATAAAGTTCACCGCCCTATGAGGACTCAAAATCCGTCTGGTGTGATCCCTCCTGTCCAGTCGATGTCCACCAAAGAGAAAGAAGTATTTATCAACCTTGGTGTAGATGAAACATCGAGAGACACCACTTATCTAGCTGCTTTTTTAGCCTGTTGGCTCTGCAAATTTGCCTTACCTGCACACCCTGGCAACATAATTCGTCCTGGGACTTTCAAGGTCGCAAGCATGTTAGCAGATGGCTGCAACATTTGTCTTTCCATCCCGGTTCTGGCCAGTATTTACAGAGGCTTGAACGAGATTGTTTCCTCACCAGATCCTGGAAGCTGCTCTGCGATATTTCCTATTCACTATGTATTCGGATGATTGAGTGAATATTTCAGAACTAATTTCACCATTCCTAATACCAACTATTGGCCTAGAATGACATTATATGCAGGCGAAGGAGGAGCAAGATACTTTGACCATTTTGAAGCCCAAAATTTATTCGGATCATGTAAAGGAATAAACTTAACTCGAACGGCTAAAAGATCTACAAAAGAGCGACTTATTGTAGATAATGGCGAGATGAAAAAGGCTGACTTTGACACCCTAATCAATCTTCGATCATGTTATTTGACATTGCGCCAAAATGACCGTCTTATCATTGAGCCGTATAGTCCACATAGATTTAGCCGACAATTTGGGTACTATCAAGATATTCCTGGAAAATTAAAAAATGACTTTCGTACTTGCACCTTAGAGGAATTTTTAAAGCATTGGAACTCATCCGTTCATTATTCTTCTGGTTGTGATGCGTTGCTTCCTTTAACCTTCAGCCACCAAAAATCCTCAGTTACCAGAGCATATGCCAAATGGTGGTCCAGCGTATATATTGATCCATTTACACGGAAAGAAACTACCTCAAAGCAATCTAAACGCACGATTTCCCCACCAGAGAAACCAACGAAAATCAGGAAGGTTTTAATTAAGGGGCTGAAGTCAAATCTCCCATCTAAGCTAGTGCCAAAGTTAACCATCAAATCTCATAATGATTGTGACGTTGTTGGAGAATCTAGTAGCCATCACCAAACAGCAGAAGATGTCCCACCACTAATCAATAACCGTTGCCGTCGTCAGTTGTCAATGGAGTTAGATGAGGATGTGAAAGCTTATGATGAGGATCGTAACTGGAAGCATGTCACCGACAAAGTGAGACTTGATTCAGTACAGGAATGTGTTGCCACTTCTCTTGATCAATTTTTTACTGGGGTACCTAACAGTTCACAGCCTATACAGGTAACTATTATTTTATATATATATATATATATATATATATATATATGGTTTTTTTTTTTTTTTTTTTTTTTTTTTTTTTTTTTTGTGTACTGCAAATTACCATTATTTATTATTATTTTTTTAATAGATAAAAGACAGCAAGGGATTTCTTGGGGAAGATGTCGTCATTGTTGCTAACCCAACATGTAGTGAAGAATCTATTTATGAACCGTCTGCCTTAGAGTTGGCCACTGCGATAGGAAAAGGTACAGAGATGTCACTACAAAGAAGCAGAGTTAGTCAACACTCGGATGTTTTGGAGGTTGCTGAAGTGACTAGTCAAGCTATGGAGGCGGTTGAAAATATTGGTAAAGATCATGTAGTTATCCCTTCT